AACAAGGTACGATCCCTCAGCCAGCTCGAAGGCTTGGCACACAGGCAACAACACCAACAACCAGCGATAAGAACCAAACACGACCGAAAGACGCAACAACTCGACACAACTGCAGAGTAGCATATTCCATAGCTGGGTGATAGATGGATTCCTGTATGGCAGACATATAGACGGGTTGTAAGGACGGAGCATATCGGAGATAACATATGTATACGGGAAGATAGAAGACGGGGGCTTTCTATGGTCATGGTAAGATATCGACTATGGCTCGATTGTGTAGCGAGGACATGGATGTCCAAGGGATATCATGGCTTGTCCCAGAAGGTCACGACTTGCATTTGGCCAGTAATGGCCCACAATGGCTTACCATATATTCGATTGGCCAGTCTTGCGCGTCTACAGTTGGCCATGGTTGGTCGGGCATGGCTAAGAGCGTCGAGTCAGTGGCTTGGTCATAGATCATGGCCGAGGGGTGCTTGGAACCATATGGTGGCATTCCAGGGCATCGTACGTGACTTGCGCGAACGGTGTGAGCGCAAGCAAAGAGTGGGCTCTTCAATTTTGAGGGGTCAAAAGTACTTAAGGGTTGGTCCACAACGTAGGGCTCGATTTTAGAAAAATGTGGGAACTGGTTTCACATTTTTCTGATGTCGTATGAATTTGTTATGAATTTTTGAAGTTTAAATCATCACTGAAAATGGGAAAAAGGCTGATTAATCCTAGGCTGACACGTGTCACACTGTGACTGGTCCACGTGGCATGCTGACGTCAGCGTGACGTCAGCATGACATCATCATCTCGATTCCGAGCTGACAGGTGGGGTCCTACTGACGTCATCAACGTCATCAGTTCTGACAGGTGGGGCCAGGGTCTCTTGGGTCACTGACTTGTGGGTCCGGTCAAAGTCAATGTCAAGTCAACAGGCGAGTCAACGGTCAATGGATCATAGTCACTGACGTGTGGGGCCAAGGCTGCTGATGTCAGTAGCTAACGTCACCGTGACGCCATCATGACGTCACCTCGGCTGCGTTTGTTACTGACAGGTGGGACCCGCATGACGTCATCATGACATCAGCATGACGTCACTTACTGACGTGTGGGTCTAGAGTCTCTGTGCCGTTGACATGTGGGGCTAGGTCAACAGTCAACGTTGACCGGTCAATGGTCAACCAGGTTGGGTCTCGACTGGGCTTTGGTGGGCCTGGACGGGGCTGGATTTGGGCCGGGCCAGTCCGGACATGTGGCATGCTGTGGCGCTGCCACGTCGTAGCCAAGGGCCTCCACTGGGCTTCGTCCACCGTTCGGCCCACCCTGCGTGGTTCACGGTGAACTGGTGTTCACGGTCCATGGACCGTTGGCTGGTCTTCGGTGGACCGAGTCCACCCTTCTTTCCTCTGGCCTGGTTCATGTGCACCGGGTGCAGCCATGTGCGGCCGGCGAGGAAGGATTCCTCTACTTCCCTCCTCGACGTGTTCCCGCCGGTGGTGTGCTCACCGACGAGCTTCCACAGCGGCGTTGGCATCCAATTGAGGTGGGGAAAAGCTTTGCCAGGCCCCGGCGAGTATGGTGGTGGGGTCAAGGCGGCGGCCAGAGCTTCCCAGGGCGTTGGCCACAGTGATCGGCGGCTCGGTCGTGGCGGTGCTTGCCGGCGGGGCTTCTAGGGGCTGTTCCAGGGGTCCTGGTGCCCCGTTCCCCTTTTAGGCGGCTAGCGGGCGACAGGGTAAAGTGTCGACGATGACCAAAGGGCGTGGCAGAGTCCGCACGCGGTGGTGGTGCACGACGGAGCTCCGACCGGTGGTCTGGTGCTCGTGGCCAAGGCGCTGCGACCGGCTATCGGGGCCTCGGTCTACGTGACTACCCTCCATGTGTCACGGTGGTGCTACGACTATTTCCTAGTCCGGCGAGGTGGCCGGGTGCGCGAGTGGTGGCCGTGCCATGACGGCAGCGGCGTGAGCGCGGCGTGCGCGTGCTCTGCTACGACGTCCAAGGGCTAGGAGGAGGTCTCAGCCAAGAGACTCACCGAGTGGCGCTGGCGGCGTTCGGTGGTGGTGCGGTGGCGAGGCGCGTTGTCGGGGTAGGCGCTCAGGGCGGCGCTCCGGCTTTGGTGATCGGCGTCTCTGAGCTCTCTGCTCGCCTCCCTCTTCCGAACTCCTTCTCGGCCCTCTTCTCTCGGTGCGGTGTTGGCTGCTGGGCCACCGAGCGGCGGCGGTGGCTGAGGAATTCCCTAGGGCGCTCTGGCGTCGCTTTATAGCCCCGGTGCCCGAGCTTCATCCATGGTGGACGGGGCGGACGGCTGGCGATGCGTCGAGGGCATCGAACGGTATCGTGGGCGTGGGTGATTGGCGTGGAGGTTGCGTGGGCGCGGCGCCAAGGGGACAGGGCCAGGTGATTCACGTGACCCCTGGCCCACGCCTGTCACTTTGGTCGGGTCTCGGTCTGAGGCGGTGCCGGCGTGGGGAGGGAGATGACACTGTGGCGGGGGTGACTGACACGTGGGGTCAGGTTGGCAGCGACAGCAGGCGAAGCAGGAAGGCGCGCGGGCGTGAGCAGCGCGCTGGGCTGGCTAGCGGGTCCGGGTGCTGCCGCGCGCGCAAGCTGGGCTGGCTTGCTGGGCCAGCTGCTGCTGCTTCGCGTGGGCCAGAAGAGGATGGGGTGGCGAGCTGGGCCGAGGGAGAGAAGGGCGAGCGGGCTGGCGGGGCAGGCTGGGCCACGGCTTCGAGTGGGAGAGGCTGGCTTGGCCTGCTGGCGCCTTGGGCTGTTTTGGCCATTTCTTTTTCCCCCTACCATTTCCTTCCTCTTCTATTTCTATTTCCTATTTTCTAAATAAACCAAGGCTCGTGTATTGTATACATGTGTCGCCAACATGTACACCTCCTGGTGGGGTCCACTAAAGGTCAACTAGGGGTAGTGGGGTCCATGTCAAGGGTTGGCAACTCACGGGCATTGAGTTGATGAAGATAGTTGGTTGATTATAGAAATTAGGTCAAGGGATTCATGAGAGATTCCAGAAGGAGTCAAAAGGATTCGCTACGGACTTATGCTCTCCAACACAAAACCCTAAACCAAATAAGGAACTCTGGCAAGCTCCTACAAGCATCACTATATGTATGCAACAATTTATTTATAAATTGTTCTTTGTTTGACCTAGCATCTACATGCTTCGCATATTGCAGAAAATTTTTTAAAAAGTTCGTATTTTTTGCTTCACCAAAAACCCGATTTGTTACATGTTACTTATGGCTCGAGATTGTAAGACAAATACAGATGCATTTGCATCAGAACCAAGGAATTGAAATTAAACTTTTCTGGATTTGCTGATTTTTCAGAAGTGCATTTTGAGATGAATAAGATAAGAAACAGTACAGGAAATCAATATATTGAGGGAAACAGTACATCTTCATGAGTGTTAGAACATCTTTAATCTCTACAAAAGCAGCAACTAAGCCGAATGGAGATCATTTCATTCCAGAGTCACCTACAAGGAAGTGTTTGAATGTTACAACCATAAGTTGGTTTTAGAAGTACAAATGGATCATGTCAGGTAAATTGGCACAGGACATGTCAGGTAAATAATAAAATAATAATAACACAACATGTGTTCGTGTTACAACCATTGGTTGGTTTTAAAAGTACAAGATGGTATTAGACCTAGGAATATATACTCACTCTTAACAAGGGATTATTGGAGATTCATTATGCATTCCACTGGTACATCTGAAAAAACAGAGATCTTTAGAAGGAAAACGATAGGGAAAAAAATCTTATCATGGTGACAACAAGAGGCCATCTATGTACATCTAATGGTCTGACGACGATGGAGGCCATCTGTGTACATCTAATGGTCTGACGATGATGGATTCCTCAAACACTAACGCATTTACTATCCAGCAGTACCGTGTACATCTCTTCAATAAACATGAATATTACTGAAAAAGGGTTTGGCGAGGAGGGGGAAAGCAGGAGTTCCATGTATCGCCCATGTTTACCTCATGAAGAAGCCGTGCCCTGCACTCAAATCTGAATCAAAGCTCAACAGGATGCATCCTGCATTGGAACCATCAAATCGAATCAAGAAGGGGAAGGGAAAGTGAAGGGAAATGACAAGAAGATGATATGGAGGAGATGGAGACGGGATCTGGAGGAGGAGCACCTAGATCTGCAACCGGCGTTCAAGGAGCACACGCGGCAACGTCGGTAGCGGCGGCGCGCTAGCGGCAGCGGTACCGTTTCTTTCTTCTCCTTCTTGGCACGGCGTTGCGGCGGCGGCGCGGGCGAGGGTGGACATGGTCCGTGCGACGACGAGGGCGGAGAATGGCAGCGCGGCACTTTTCAGGTTTGCCTTCTGCCAATGATGGGAAAGGATGTCGTGGATTGTACGTGATTGGATTGCAAGAGGATCACGTGATTGGAGGAGGAGATCGCGCACGCCCGGGAAGCGAACGGCGAGCGAGCATCACACGTGACCGGGAAAAATCATCGCCGGCCGTTCCTGGAGCTCCCGCCGAGCGGGCGGAGGCCTGAGGCTGAGCGGGCCCTAGGGTTCCGGCCGAGGCCCGAGGCTTCGCTGGTGGCAGGGCAGGGGCAGGGGCAGGGCGGGCGCAGGTGGTGGCGTTTGCGTAGGGTGGGCGCGGGCGGCGGCGCGACGAGCTGCGGCGAACGAGGGGGGCGAGGGAGATCGGGCGATTTTCGTATTAAATATCATCCGGGCCCAGGATTTCACATGTCTACGGCAGACGGACGAACCAAGGCAATTGTTGCACCAAAGCGGTGTCCATCTTTTAGTCTTTTTAGTTGTGAGAGATATACAGCCTAATCTTGGGCCTATGTGGAAGGAAAGGAGCAACTCCCTACAATCTAGCCCACACCCTACAATCCAGCTCGGCCCACTGTCCCATCTTCTTCGCCCGCTTCTGTTCCTCCTCTCCTCATTCCCCCTCGCGGAACGAAAAATATCCCGAACAAATTCCTGGCTAAACCCTCCCCGCTGCTCCGTCGCCGCCATGGCGCTCTCCAAGCCTCTCCTCTCTCGCCTCCTCCCCCTTCCCCTCCGCCTCCGCCCCCAGGCCTGCTTCCTCTGCCTCGCCACCCCGACGTCGACCCCGACCCCCGCCCCAATCGACGACGCGCATGCCCCCGCGGACGCCGCCGCCGAGCGCCGCCGCCGCAAGCGCCGCCTCCGCGTGGAGCCCCCTCTCTCCCGGGGGCCCGCGCCGCAGCGCGCGCCGGGGGCTCCCCGCCCCGCGTCGAACCCCAACGCGCCCAAGATCCCGGAGCCGGCCTCGGTGCTCTCGGGGAAGCGCCTCGACCTGCACCGCCGAATCCTCACGCTCATCCGCGAGAACGACCTCGACGAGGCGGCGCTCCTCACGCGCCACTCCATCTATTCCAACTGCCGCCCCACCGTCTTCACCTGCAACGCCGTCCTCGCCGCGCTGCTCCGCCAGGCCCGCTACGCCGACCTCCTCTCCCTCCACCGCTTCGTCACGCAGGCCTCCGTCGCGCCCACCGTCGCCACCTACAACCTCCTCCTCCAGGCCTACTGCGACTGCCGCCGCCCCGACGTCGCGCTCGAGCACTTCCGCCTCCTTCTTAAGGACGACTCGCCCGTGCTCCCCTCCCCCACCACATACCGCATCCTGGCGCGCTCCCTCGCCGAGAATGGCAAGCTGGACCAGGCGCTCGAGCTCAAGGATGGCATGCTCGAGCGCGGCCTCATCGCCCCTGATACCCAGGTCTATGCCTTCATCATGGGCGGGTTTGTCAATGCCGGGGACGGTGACAAGGCAGTTTCGTTGTATGAGGAGCTCAAGGAGAAGCTTGGTGGGGAGCCTATTCTTGATGGCGTGGTGTACGGGAACTTAATGAAAGGGTATTTTCTCAAGGGCATGGAGAAGGAGGCCATGTATTGCTATGCAGAGGTGCTTGGAGAGGGTTCCAAGGTGAGGTTCAGTGCCGTGAGTTACAACATGGTGCTTGATGTGCTCGGGAGGAATGGGAGGTTGGAGGATGCACTCAAGCTGTTTGATAGAATGTGCATGGAGCATGACCCGCCCAGGACGATTGCTGTGAACCTTGGGAGTTTTAATGTGATGGTTGATGCATACTGCCGTGCTGAAAGGTTTCAAGATGCGATTGAGGTGTTTGGGAAGATGGCCGAGAAGAGGTGTGCTCCAGATGCACTCTCCTACAATAATCTGATTGACTGGCTAGGGAAGAATGATCTTGTTGGGGAGGCTGAGGGATTGTACAAGGATATGGGTGAGCAAGGTGTAAACCCTGATGAGTACACCTATGTCTTGCTCATTGAGTCTTGCTTTAAGGTTGATAGGGTGGAAGATGCAGTTGCTTACTTCAACAAGATGTTTGATGCTGGTCTGAGGCCCAATGCAAATGCATTTAACAAAGTCATAGGTGGCTTGGTGAAGGTTGATAGGCTCAGCGAGGCACAAGGGTTCTTTGACATGATGCCTGAAAAGGAGGTCAAACCAAACATTGCTAGCTATGAGTTGCTGTTCAAGGCATATATTGATGCTGCAAGGTTGGATGATGCGATTAAGATAGCCAAAGGTATTCTGTTGGACGAGAGTGTCGTCTTTAGTGATGAAATGAAAGCACTTCTGGAGGAGGCACTGGACAAAGAGGGGAGAGATGGGGAAATGGCAAAGTTATATGAAGATGTTGAGAGGGAGAAAGAAGAGGCGGCTGCACGTGCAGCTGAAGAGAAGGCTAGAGCTGAGGCTCTTGCTAAAGAAGAAGAAGAGACGAAGAAGGCTGAGGCAAAGGCTAAGGAAGAAGCGGCTGCCAGGGCTAGCCGAGCAGCTATTGAGGCAGTGCTGGGTCGCAAGAAGGAAGCAGAAAAACAGGAACCAGTTGATGGACTGAACGTTGAGGAGGCAGAGGTTGTGGAATCCAACAATGACACCAGCGATGCTTCTGGAGAACTGAGTGAAGGCGATGAGCAGAAAAAGCAAGAGTCTGCTGAAGCCTCATCGTGTTCTTAGCTTCGTCATTTTTATAGGTTTCTTTCTATCATGAATGATCTTTAGTTCCATTTCAGTAGTATAATGTGATTGGGAGAGGCTATCTGAGAAGGTTGGCTTTGACCGCGTTCGGCTGGTACACTCCCAGCTTGTTTCAGCTTATTCTCTCTCACAGAATACTATTGAATCATCCAAAACTATCCGAAAATCACTGTACACTGCACCAGCCGAACACAGTGAATGCCTTTATATGAACTTGCATGGTTTCAAGCTGTGCTGATTGTTTGCTGCATTGATGCAGTCTTGTGTATCACATCTAGCATTTCTTAGATAAGAGATAAATATAAGTTATAAATTTTCTTTATCCTTGTGATCTACAAATTCACTGTTTTATATTCTCTATCTCTTCTCTACTCTCTTTCTCTATCTCTACTACTTAAAAAGTAGATACATGTAGTTCTTGTCCCCACGCATACTAGGTTGTCCTGCGCTCCCCTCATCCAGTTTATGAAATTTCAGCATAAAGCTTACTTAACCTGTCATATTCTATCAGTTAAAACCAAAAGGAAAAAAAATATGTGTAAAGGTAAACCCTCTCTATTCTACTGGCGTCTCGAATTCTTTCTGTTCTTTTGGCTTTAAGTTATGGTTTAGGTAAATGATCCTGATGAAAGAAGCACACTGATAAATTAAACCAAACATCAAATACTTGCCCATTCAATTGGCATTTTTATGGTGCAAGCATGTAAAGGATAGTGTATGTGCAGTAAACTGTAAATATTTGCTTGAAATTTTTGGACCATTTGTTTGTATGCAGAAATCTATGTAGTACTTCTAACGCCAAATTCGTGTATTTTATTTCTACCTTAATGAAATGACAAGCAGCTCTCCTGCATAGTTCGAGAAAAAAAGAACTTCGAATGCCAAATTTACAAAGATTTGTATGTCCAGTAAACTGTTAATATTTATGCTGCTCCAAATTTTTGGACCATGTGTTCGTATGCAGAAATCTATGTTGTATATCTGAAGCCAAAAGGAAAAAGATTTTATCAGTGGGGGTAATAAGTAAAAATTGAACAATACGACTGGCTTGAGCAAGAAGTGCCTTTTATAATTTTTTTTATTAGTGACTATAATACTTCTTTGTGAGGTCAACTATGTGGCTAGAGAAGTTTGTCCATTTGGTCTATAGGGTTTATGATAAGAATCGACAAATGTTCAATATTCAGTAAAATTTGTCCTGCATGAAAGAAGAGGCTGCTTGCAACTCACCCTAATTTCAGAGATACAGTTGAACCATCAACATTATCATGTGAACTTTCCAAAGTGCAATACAGTCATGACAGATTCATAGGATTTCCCATCTTCACCAATAACAGGTTTAAGTATCAGGCTATCAGCACAAAAACCTCTAGATTCTTAAAATGAGACAGGAGTGTTCACTTTGATATAACTGACCTGAAACAAAAGGTGTGCATGTTTATTTTAAATTCCCAACAAATTGAGTGAACTGTGTAAGCCTATAAGTCTGTTACCGTATGATGTACAGTAGGTTAGCTGTTTCTGTTCTCTCAGTTTTCAGTTAGAGTTCAGATAGCGTTTCAGATAGAGCACGGGCAAGGATGCCCACGTCGCGCGATCCTCGCGGCACGTCCCAGCGGTGTGGGATGGTGCATCGTGCTCACGAGCGTGCCGTGCATATCTCGGCCTCATGGCCTCTGTATCTAGCTTTATATTCCGCGAATCGAACCAGAAAACGCTGCCAGTTTAGCAGCACCAAAAACTCTGCGAGTTCCTGTTCGTCTTCCAGATCGCGTGAGTGAGGGACACCACACACACACACACACACACACACACACACACACACACACACACACACACACATATATATATATATATATATATATATATATATATATGAGTTTAGGAAATCAAATATCACATATAGGTATAAATAAGGGTAATATCAAAAGATAATGCTCAATATATAACGTACTTAGTATAAAGGATATAACCTTAGACAGCAAACAGTGGAAAGACAACTTCTATTTTCGGGTGAAGACTCCAATTCACAGGGACAACTGACTAGTTGATCATAAGTCTAATTTCTCCAAACTCTAACCATCTGGTACCCATCCGGGATTTTTATCCAAATAATTGAAAAAATAAAGCAAGCGTAAGTACATGTCGTACCCAACAAATATAACATGGGGATCATGAGGCTCAAAAGACTGACACTGGTTTAACTGCGATTAGTTTTTATTGAGTCATCTTTTTAGCAATTAGGTGGCAACAAATTTATTCACAGCCCATATAAACACACGATCAGGTAAACATGAATAATGAATAGCATAAATAGTAATAATTAGTGAGCATCTTTATCATCTTTATCATCAGTGTTCATCATCTATTCCGTAAGGGTTCTAAGGCCGCTCGTGACCGTGAGCACGGTTGATATACCAGTTTTGCACTCTGAAGAGGTTGTACACTTTCACTGTGAGTCGTGATTTACCCTTTCACTCGAGGTAGCTAATCTCTTGACCCACTTCCAAGGAAGGTCGGCATGGTTCACTATGAAGCCTTTCAAAGATTCGTCTAACAAGTTAGAGCCATTAGATTCACTCGGCAAACAGATGTAGAGCCCTCGTTTCCGATGGCATAATGACGCGCAGCCTATACACAAGGGGGCAAAGGCCGCACTATATCCGATTCGGCAAGCCATTCTTATGCCAATAAAGGTAACCACTAACAAGCTAGAAAAGGTCCTCATACTGAGCTAAAGCCAGAGCTATATAGCCCTCACAGCTGTACTATAAGTCCCGGATGTTCGCTTACAGATAAGTCCTTAGAGAGATAAATCTAGAGCACCATAAAATAGCCCAATGCTCTAGCCCCCTTGTTCTATGTTGCTAAAAAGCATCTTTTAATGTTTATTGCATATTCTATTAGTCAAGTTACAAGATCATGGTTGTAGTTGAGCACTAGCATCATACTACCCAATGTAAGAACCCATATGAATCAAGGAATCTAGGATATCAAATAGCTAGGAAAATTACTACGGTTGTTAAGGTAGACACATGCAGTATAAATTAAATGATTAAAGATGTATAGGACAACAAGAAAGATCCCATGCTATACTTGCCTTAAACTCAAATCCTTCTTCTATTGAATTGTAACCTCCAAAGGACTTCTTCTGGATCACCAACTTCTTTTATATCACCAACGCAAAGCTCATCGACTGGACATGATCATAAAGCACCACACAAGCATCCATGCAATCATACACGAAACAAACAATAGAACTAATTTAGAACAGTGCACCAAACATATAAAACAAGTAAAAAGGTTTTAAAGATGTCCTACACGTTGCTACGAACACACAGACACGAAAAACACGCTAATCGGAGCTACGGTGAAAAAGATACAACTACCGATAGACCTGTTTCGAAAAGAAACTATAGGCTTTATTAATTTTAAGGGAATATTGTGTTCTTACCCCTACTTTGATGTCCAATTGTGATTTTACCCTTGTTTTTGTCATCGTTGTGATTTTACCCGTGCTTTGTAACTACTAAGGCTCAGTTTACCCTTACTTTTAACTCTGTTAGTTGTATTTGGAATAAAAAAAAATTAAAAAACAACAAAACCCTTCACAGTAAGACCAAAGGACAACAATACCCCTTATCCACTCATACCCTCCCCAATCCTCCATCCTCTACCGTATCCTCTTTATCTCTCTCATTCTCCTCATGTCAATCCTCTAAAACCCTAGCAACGGCGTGGGCGCGGGGTGCGGCTGGGCGGCTCCTTGCGCCACACGACGAGGGAACGGGCGTGGCCCCGAGTGGCCAGGCCCCGTTCGTTGGGCGGGCAGGCACTCAGGCGTCGGGCGACCAGGGCGTGGGCGTGGGGTGCGGCTGGGCGGCTCCTTGCGTCGCGCGACGAGGGCACAGGCGTGGCCCCGAGAGGCCAGGCCCCATTCATCGGGCAGGCAGGCGCCTGGGTGTCGGGCGGCTAGGGCCCAACGGCTAAGCGTGGGGTGCAGCTGGGCAGCGACGAGGGACGGGCGTGGCCCCCGGGCTCCTCAAACTCCAACTCCTCCTCCAACGCCTTCGCCTCTTCCAACCCCATCGCGCAATCCATCATCGCCTTCGCCGAGGTCTCTGGGGGCAAGGCTTTGTGTGCGGTCTGCAGGCCGGTGGTGCCGCGCTCTTCTGCTGGCCGTCCACGCCCACGCCGCAGTGGGGGCAGCTCCGCCGACTCTACAACGGTCCCAACCCGCTCGCCGACCTCGCCGTCGGCGGGGACCATGTCGTGGCCTACGAAAGCCAACACCTCTGCCTCTGGGACCGAGAGAGTCCTATGGCAGCACGACGGGGACCGGTTCCCCACGCAGGTCGACGGTGGGTTCCGCTCGCTTGTCTCCGGGGACGGCTTCACCTGTGCCGTCGAGACCAACGCGTCCGCGGCCGTCCGATGCTGGGGCCCGCAGGGTAGCGCGGTGTAAGCAGGGCTCGCCAACGCGACCGTCGCGTCGTACCTCACTGTGGGGGGCTCCCGAGCATGCACTGTCCTCGCCTTCGGCGCCGCGCTCTGCTCGGGCGCGGACGACGTCGGCGCGGCGACGAACGCCTCTACCACCGGTGCGCTGCCAAGGGACCTCTTCGGGTACGGCCTGGCCGTCGTCGACTCCCACGCGTGCGCGCTCCACCGGCCCAACCACACTGCGGTGTGCTGGAGCCTCGGGGGCCCACCACCACCCTGTACGAGCCAGCGCTCGGGATCTCCTTCCAGTTCCTCGTCGCCTGTGGCAACTTCACGTGCAGCGTCACGTCCAGCGACTACAGCGTGTACTGCTGGTCCGCGACAACTATTAGCTACCGCTTTTGTTGGACTTGCATGTTGGATGAGGCTTGGTGTTGTATGGATACTTTTGTTACACTTTCACTTGATGTGATATTATATATCTATATTTGCATGTTGTGCGGAATCATATGTAACAAGTTGTGCAATGATGCTGC